CTGCATGAAGCAGGAGATTGCATGGTTCGTGGAGCGGTGCTTGACCTGTAGGAAGGTCAAGGCCAAACACAAGAGGCCTCATAGTAAGGTTCAACCATTACCCACTCCTATCTACAAATGGGAAGATATCACCATGGACTTCATCACAAACTTACTGAGGACAACGAGGGGTATGGAGGCCATATGGGTTATTGTGGATAGACTAGCGAAGAGTGTCAATTTTATTCCGATCTTAGAGAGCATCTCAGCTGAGAAATTAGCAGATATTTATGTGTGAGAGGTGGTGGTTAGGCATGGGATGCTAGTATGGTGGTCTCTGACCGGGATGTCCAATTTACAACTTGCTTCTGGAGGAAGATCCACGAGGAACTGGGCACTCAGTTTCATTTCAGCACGACATACCACCCTCAGACTAATAGCCAAAGCGAGGGGACAATACAAACACTTGAGGATATGCTTTGGGCATTCACGTTGGATTTTGGAAGAAGTTAGGATACATACCTCTCACTAGTAGAGTTTTCATATAACAATAGTTATCATGTTACTATCGACCGATCTCCGTTTGAGATGTTGTATGGTTGGAGGTGTAGAACCCCGATTTGTTGCAGAGAGGTTAAACACCAAGTAATGGGGAGCACCGAGGTATTGCTCAAGACTATTGGGTAGATTCAGTAGGTACACAACTGGCTACGAGTCGCACAGAGCTGTCTGAAAAGCTATGCTGACCGACGCTGATCGGACCCTGAGCTCCAGGTGGGGGATTTCGTCTTGTTGAAAGTATCACCGTGGAAGGGTGTCATTCGATTATGGAAGAGAGGCAAGCTAGGGCCCTAATATATTGGATCATTCAGGATTACTACCCGGTTAGCCAAGGTGGCCTATCGCTTGGATCTGTTAGACAAGCTTAGCTACATACACAAAACCTTCCATTTGTCCCAACTTTGGAAGTGTGTCACGGACAAGGCCACGGTTGTTTCTCTGGACGACATTCAGGTGGACGAGAGCCTGAATTACATTGAGTGGCCTATTGTGATTTTTGATAGGAAGACCAAGGTTCTTCGGAAAAAGGAAGTGAAGTTAGTAAAGGTTCAATAGAAACACCGAAAAGGCTCAGAATACGACATGACCCTTTAATGATCTTATCTATTTGCTTGGTGCTGCTGAATCAACAATGATTTGGAACACTGGTAAAGCAAATTTGATCAAAAGATCAACTTCCCAAAACTTCATGGACATTGATAATAGTGACACTGGAAATCCTGAAAAACTTTCTCTTCCCAATGGAAAGGGATCGGCCATCGTCAACTCGGTTGACCAAATGGTAAAGAGAAAGGCTAAGTCTGTGATAGTCCCGTGTACCATATCCAAATAGTCCATATGTTTCTTTTGCCAAAAGAAGGGGCATTGGTTGCGAAGCTGCCAAATTTACCTAAAAGTCCACAAGGATAGTAAAGTCAAATGTCTGACTCTACTTTAGGTGAGGTCCATTATCTAACTCTATTAAGATCCTATTTGGAGATTCTTAATACATAATGCAATGTAATTGCATTTTGATGTTTTGGAAGAATCAAAGGAAGCTTAAAGAAAGCGTGTGCTGATTCTGATCGCGAAAATGGATTTCGATCGCATGGTTCAATGATCAGAATTTTGAGTTATTGCTTAAGAGGTATGGTATATTGCTTAGGAATAGATAAAAGAAAAGTTTTGATTTTTTTTAAGTATCCTTACAATGGCATTTGTGAAAAAAATTTGTTTATATGTTTCCATTGATAAGCAATATTGGTAAATGGATTTGATTCTTTCATTTGTGGTAGTGTCATAATTTACCAAATAAGGAAAGATTCTCATCTCCCAAGGTTCAGTTGGATACAAACTTGGAATCATGTGACTTGTATTGTATGATGAATGAGAATTTTTCATCTTTGGGAAATTAAGACTAATTCCTTGTTCACGTGTATATGTGAGTCAAGTAAAGGACAAAGGGATCGGTAACACTTGGATGTGCGCTGATCAGGTCCACCACAAAGACTATTCATCATGATTTACTAAAGTTTAGTAAATATGGTTATGCTTACAAGTTTAATAGTAATTCTGATACATTGGAAAGGTTTCAATGTATGACAGAACGGATAAGAAGAATCAAATAAGGCAGGAAGATAAAAGTTTCTCCAATCTGAAGAGATGGGAGAGTACTTGAGTATCTTGTTTTATGATTCACTACAAGAAAAAGACCCTTTTACGACGCGCAAACAATGATGCTCATTGATTAATGTTACGAAAAAGAGAGTGACATTAAAAAAGTGTCATCTCATCAAAAAATTTAAGGATTTATGTCACGTATTATTGCGCGCCCTTAAATTAGTGTCTAATGTAAAAAAATTAAAAACACGGAGGACACTTTATCTAAACTGTGCGTTCTCTATCAGTGTCGCTTTATGTTTTTCTCAAAAGGCGCGTTTCTTAAAAGTGGGAAATCAAATTCTCTTAAAATTCTAAAATTTTTAAATACCCCGCTTCAGATATCCCTTCGTTCTCTTCTTCCCTTCTCTATGCAAACCCTAATCACGATACCTGCTATACACCTCGACAACTCATATAACCATTCTACAATTTTTTTCTTAAAAACTCGCGTTCATTCCTAAAGATCACAAAATGGCGACCAGCAACTATACGTATATTGTTAGCCCAATACTTTTGTGTGTTTTTTGACGGTAACTGCAAGGTTCAAGGCAGGAACTTCAATCGACTTGGTGTGGGTTAGCTTGACACCCTTGATTCGTCCGATTGTGCCGCATAAGTAAAGTATCCCCTCCCTATCGGACTGCTATACATCTCCGCTTCAAGATATCCCATCTCAATGAAAGCGATTCAGGCCTCACTCCTCTCTCATAGTGATTTAGGGTTTTTTGGTACAAGTTATTGACTAAGACACCGACTTAGGGTTTTTTTTCATAAAAGATGTGTATGTGCACTTACGTTGGTTCTAGCTCCCACGAATTCTCTCAGGTATATTTATTTTCTTTTATTTCAATGACTTCACAATGATGCAACGCTACAAAGGAGTAGCATTTGGGGAGCTAGATCGTCATGTTTTTTCAATTGCAGATTCTGATTTTAGGTCATCTCTTCTCCTCACCTCTTCTTTTTCTTTTCTATTCTACTTCTACATATATACTTCTTGTACAGAGGATTAACATTCTTCCATTCTTAAATATTTATAAAATCGGTATTATTTGAAGTTTAGTGATTATGGTCTAGTTAGTACTTCATATTTTCTACTTGGCACTTGTATTTGTTTCCTTACCCTTTTTCATGTTAATTTAGACTAATCTCTGCCTATTTCATCTTTGTAGAGTGATTAATGATAAGGTTAGGCTGATAAAATATGTGAATTATTCTTATAAGTGCTTCAAACCCTAATTGATGAGTTCAGCCCGATTTATTTCTCACATACGTACAGAAGCTGATTTTGAAAAGTTCATGTGATTTGAGAAAGAAGAACATAAATATGTGGGTCCTCGGCCATTGGATATATATTTGACGAATGATGATTTTCTCTTGCCTCTTCTTCCATTACAATCCACCTAGTAGCAAATTGTACCACCAAAAAGAGGCATCAGGTTCTTCTCTCCACCAAAAATCAAAATTTGAACCATTGACACCATGATTCACCTTCCATCTATGAATATGCGTGTTTGTGTGTATGAGAGAGAGAGAAAAGAAAAGGAAAGAGAAGAGAAGAGAGAGATGTTTTGGGTACTCTACAAAGCTGTCCTATCTGAAACCTACCCTACATCTCTCATAATTTTCTTCATTTCTTTATTGCCGATATTATTTATCATGGTGAGTGATTTTCAGTTGTGCCCCCCTTTTCACAGGGATTTACGCATGAAAATTCCCAGTCATGGCTACAGGACAAGACCCCCTATCTGTTAAAAGACACCATTGTCCAAATACAGTTCATCTATATATTTATTGTATGGATAATAATATAAATGTCTATGTGTTTATTTATTTTTCGAAGAATTAACGGTAATTGTTTTTGTCAGTTAAGCATGAGGTCGGTGATCTTCAAAAACTTGAGGCAACTTCTTAGATGTTTTAGCATTGCATCGGGGTTAAAAGTTAATTTCAATAAGTTCATCCGGTATGGTAACCACGGCCTTGGCTGTGGTTTCCTTCCACCTTAGCAAGCACAAAGCACCACTACATATGGTACCTGCAGAGTGCTCTCTGTTAATACCTTAAACCTATTTGAGATGGTTAGTCTCCACATAAATTAGATTGAGAAAACAGAATAAAGTTGGAGCAATTTTCGATGATCTATTCCTAAAGCATAGTAAAATTTTATAAACTCTTTCTCCGATCAATATAGCAGAGTTCGTTATTATGCTTGTGAAGCTTTATACAACATCGCATAGGTGAGAATTAGTTGTGAGTTCATCAGATGGTGTATAAAATGTAAACAGTACATTTAGGGCTTACTTTATGCCTTTTGCAGGTTATGAGAGGAGACTTCATTGTGTTCTTCAATAAGATATTTGATGCTTTATGTAAGCTTTCAGCAGACTCAGATCCCAATGTACAAAGTGCAGCTCATCTGTTAAATAAACTCGTTAAGGTAAGTAAATGACTCATCTTATTATTTGTTATATTTGTTCTAATGCTGAATCACAGTTGTTCTTATTGTTGAAAACAGAACATTAGCGCAGAGTCTGACTAATTCAGGTGATCATCTTTCAGTTTTTTGTATAAATTTGATAGGGTTACTACTGTAAAATGTATTGAACTTGGGATCCTGAATAATTTTTATCTTTTATCAGCATTGAAGAATTTATATCTTTGTTGAAAGAGCATATGAATGTGTTGAATCCTTATGTTCGCCAATTTTTGGTTGGATGGATCACTGTGTTGGACAGTGTTTCAGACATAGACAAACTCGTCTTTCTTCCTGATTTTCTTGATAGTAAATGATCTCACTTCACAGTTAAAGGGTATTCCCGTCAATTTGCAAGTGTTTTTTTCGCACAACATTTTTGGATTCATCTAACATGTCACATGTGGAGATCTCAGGTTTATTTAATATGTTAAGTGATTCCAGCCATGAAATCCGGCAACAAGCTGACTTGGCACTTTCAGAGTTTCTTCTGGAGATGAAGAACTCTCTGGTAAGATTCTGTAGCTAATGAACAAGGTAATGGAATCAGTCATTACATTACATTCCATGATCATGTTTAGTTGACATGTAATGAATTTTCATATTGTATGTAAAATACAACATATTGTTTTGACTCTACTCTTTATGTTATATAGTTATAATTAATGAACTTTTATTTACAAGTTAAAAGTAAACATAATGATATTTTTTTAAAAACCAAATAAGATTATACTAAAAACTATATAAATTGTATTTCGATTAAACCTCATATTTTTTAGTAGCAAATTTTGTCATTTATTTGTAAATTTCTGACTTTAGGAGTGGTACTGATGAAGTCTGTAGATTACGGTCGCATGGCAGAAATACTTGTACAAAGAGCATCTTCCCCTGATGAATTCACCCGTTGAACTGCAATCACATGGGTAAGTCTTTTTTTTTCCTTTTTTTAAATTTAGTTGCACATTGTAATGAGATTTTTTGAGAATTCCTGCAATTTTTTATTAAATTTATGCAGATAAACGAGTTTGTAAAACTTGGGGGTGATCAATTGACAAGCCCCTTTAATACAACACATGGTGATATAGTGATGGAAGAAAATGCACATGGTGATGATGTAAATCAAAGTAATGAAAAAAATGCAGACGCTTTAGAGGCTGGAAATGAGCTTGTAAGTATCTAATCTACTGGTTTCTTGATCCATGTAACTTTTTATTCAAACTTTTTACTAATTCTTTTGGAGTTGATTGTAGGTAGGAGTTGTCTCTAATGAGAATTTATTGGAACTTCTTGAGTTAGCAATGTCATCAAACACAACTGAAATTGTGAAAAGAGCCAGAGAACTGATAGAATTGGGAGTTTACCCTATGGTCCTCATGTCTCAAATGGCTACACTTATTATGGACATTATTGTTGGAACATAAGGTAATAAAAAAGATAATTTATTTTAATGTATTTTAAATCAAATTATCAAATCATATATAAACTACCCAAACAATATTCAAGTTTTATTTTATCACCTCGATTTTGCAGACGAGCCTTGTGTTTACATTAGAGGAAGGCCCTAGGGTCTTGTTCAATGCTTTAGCTGTGTTTGCTCTAAGGGAGATCAACTTATCAAAAGTAAGTTATTTTTTTCACCCTTTTATTTAATATTTTTGTGATTGAATGAAAGTCTTAATGAAAGTAATTAACATCCCTTTTTTTTGTAAATGATGTTGTGATTGTGGGAGAGGTGTTGTGTTTTTCTCTGTTGCTAGGTAACCTTCTCAACAACAGCATTCTACTTAAGCAGGTGAGTAATCAAGATTAAGGGAGACTTGTAATCATGTTTGGCATTCCTTTCCAGTACACATTAAGCAGGTGGTACGCACACAAGGCGTTGGCAAAAACAAATAACATGAAATGTTTCTGGTAAGAAACAGAGTTGTATGATTATTTCTTAGTTTTATAGGAATGTATAACCCATGTTAGCAATGTATTATTTTTGTTTAACATTTGAATGATTCTTTGTATGACATTATAATTTGTGGAATTTATTTTATTTTTTGAGTATGGAATTTTATTTTATATTATGCAATGGATTGTATTTTTTGTATATGGTATTTTATTTATATTATGAGAAATTAAATGAAATTTTAATTTAACTATTAATAAATATATAATTTTTTTTAAACATTTAAATTTACGATACGCAAAAATGTGTGTCATCTTCATTTATGACATGGCCTTTCTTGATAGGGGCATTCTTGATACGCATTGCGTGTCATTAACACGCGCGTCGTAAGGTTATGACACGCAAATGCGTGACGTCTTCCTTTATGACAGGACCTTTCTTGATACGCATTGCGTGTCGTAAACGCGCGTCGTAATTGCGCATCGTAAATGCGCGTCGTCTATAGACGACGCGCAAAAGCGCGTTGTCTCTCTTTATGACAGGGCCTTCCTTGACGTGCATTTGCGCGTCGTCTGAGCCCTTTACGGCGCGCAATGAGCGTCGTAAAAGGCTGTTTTTCTAGTAGTGATTATCTTAGTGATTATAAAAAAACATGTTACAATTGATCCTCTAAGGACACCTTAGTGTATTTGTTGGCTAAGGAGAGGAATTGTGAATTGTGGAAATTGTTAAATTAAAAGATAAATCATACTTCGTTCCAAAATCAAATCTTAGAGTCATAATCCAAGATTGAGCATTGAGTGACATAACCTTAAGAAAGGTTTAAAACACTTGTCAAATGTAGAGTAAAATGTTTTCTTACTCTTGTACATTTGAAATTGGTAAGTTGCGATGTTTTTGATAAGACAAAGACCATCTAAGAGCAATTGTAAGAAATGTTTTTCCTTGATAAGAATTTGCACTAACTCTTAAATATTTGTTTTGTCGAGGTTTGGTTCTTAACAAAGAGAATCTTATATGTCAGGAGGACAGTGGGAGTCTTGAGATAGTTTTGAGAACTGATCAAGAGTATTGTTAATTACTAGCCCACGACTTAAGGTTTATTACCTATCGTATTGACTTATTCTTGTTTCTGTGCCATTCTAGTTAAAGTTGGCTATGCTTGTGAGTTCTATGAGTTGTCAATTGTTTGCATAACAACCTGGAAGCAATGGTAGGCCCTTGTGCTGCCGGGTGGCAAGAAAATAAAGATTGAACAAGTTCAGTCCATATGTGTTTGGATTTGCCATTAACCTTGTCTTGTGATTATGGTTATGACAAATTCACATGGATAGGAACACTTACATCATAAAATCTAAGTATCATAAGGTTTCTCTCCGATTCATGAAAATGATGGTGAGGAAATGCTTTCACTAAATGGATTTTAAGTAGATAGCAGTTGTGATATTTGCATTCTCATGTCGTTAGTGGAGCGTGTGTGGTTAACCGGCACACTAACCAGTGAGAATGGGAAAAGGTCTAGACAAACATGTGAGCTATCTAAGAAAAGGTTTATGATTTTGATAAAGTCTTATCATAGCAATCTCATATCAGAAATCTGAACTATCGTAGGAAAGTCAACAAAATATTGATTTTTAAAAGTCCAGGTGATTTTTTAGATACATGTCAAAGCTAGTGGGAGCATCAATGTTATGCTAGTAAGATAATAATCATTATGCTAGTGGGAGCATTATTATTATTTTACATGTTGCAAGTTAGCAATGTTAATTATAGAAAACAAAAGTTTCAATTCGCTTTGAAAAGTTGTTTTGCTAAAATTAAGGAAGAAGATTTTATACTTCATTCCAATTCTACAAGCTTAGATTGAGATTTTAATCTACTTTAGTCAAGGATATATAAGAATGTTATGTTGGAATGGTTCAACATAAGGAAATTCTATATATGTCGCGTTCTTAAAATTTGATTATGATTACAACATACCTCTTCATAGTTCAAATTGTGAGAATGTGGAAAATAAAATTTAAAGCATGAATCGTGTCCTATATGCTTCGGGTATAGGTTCGATTACATGTGCTATAATCTGTTCTAAATTTTCCTAATGCCTAGGGCATTAAGATGGAAAAAGGAATAAAACTGAAAATGACTAAAATGATTTAGCAAATTATCGAGGAAAATATGAGGTTTACTAAATATTGGTTGCTCATGGACAATTAGAAGTATAGAGTAAGGACCATATTGGCATATTTTGAAAAGAGGCAACTCTTGTTCAAAAGGTGATGGTCAAAATGGGAATATGGAATTGTTTCCATAGGTGGAAGATTCAAAGAACTTAATGCAAAGGAGAATGTTCACAGGAATGTACTTTGAATTTGAGACTTCATTTCCATGGAATTGCTTTCCATTGGAATACTTTGTAATGTCTATTGCCAAGCCTTTGTGACTTGTGTGCATATTCATTACAAGAGGATCATTGCATATAAGTTTAGAATCTAACAAATTATAGTAAATGGCAAGATTTTTGTATTCTTACATTTACAATAAGGATTGGAATTGTGAAATAAGCATCATTGAAATATTTTCATTCAGTTTGTTTCACAAAGAGAGGACCATATGTAAACATATTGTGCATACTTGGAGTATGACATAGTTGTTTTTTGGAAAAACATAGTGTGCATGCTTGGAGCATGGCATGACTATTGTTTCAATTCAAGTATTAAGTTGATTAATCGAAACATGAATAATGAGTAATCAATATGGTGCTTAGATAAAAGGGTTTTTATTTACACTCAAGAGTTTGGGGCCATATAGGATTAAGTATTATTCTTGTGTTTCACTTTACATGTTTTGACTTCCAGAATAACTAAGTTATTCAAACTGTCCACAATCAGTCATATGTTGGAAGTAGATATGAATCAAGACTGTTATGAATTGGGTTTGTAGATGTCTAAAGTGTTTACACATAGCAAGATTTGCTACAACATTCATGAGTGCTCATAAGTTCTGAGTATTGGATTCAACCCACGCTCATTTGAATCACTTCATGGATTTTATCACGAGTGAATCATGAGACGATAATATCTTATATTCTTCAAACCTAGAGAGATGAGTTGTTGATTGTGAGTTGGTTATACACTAATTGCACGAAAACGCATTGGTAACTCGATGTTATAAAACGTGCCTTTGTGTATGATTCAACAAGTAGTACAACAAGCATATAAGTCGAAGTTTATCCATTCCTTTTACCCTTAAAGGGATAAAAGCGATATATGTGGGCCCCTCGATGATTTAGTGATGACAAAACGTAAGTGCTCGGTCAGGCCTGTACTGATTTGATTTGTTCAATTAGTCAGTCATCATGAAACAGAAATCAGGAAACAACAAATGGATAGAGAGAATGATTATAATCCATGTCTCAGTCCATATGATATCAAGAATGGAGGAATATATGATCACTTATCTAATAGACGCGTCATTGATTTGTTCAGAGTTCGACAACGGATTTTGAGAGCTACGATTGCTAGTCAGGTTATGAAGTGGTACTTGAAATAATAGTTTTAGACTTATCCAAGTGGGAGACTGTTGGATTAGTGTCTATGTCCATAACTATAATTGGTATATACTAAACCCGACCCGACATGGTCTATTTGGGTTGCATGGCATCATGCATTTGGATAGACTAAAATGAGAGAAATAACACTTAAGGTTTATTAATATATTATAAGTTCTAATATATTAATAAGATTATATAATTAGTACTCATCAAGAATTAATCTAGAATTAATTAAGTGATCAAAAGAAGACTAATTAAATATATGGGTTGATTTTGTAAATCATCCATACTTGTATAGTGGGCTAAAACTCCATGGATTATCAAGTTGGGCTAAAACCCATAGGATGCTCCATGGTGTATTTGAACCCATGGATCCAAAGAAAAGGAAAGCCATGAAAATTAGGGTTTACCCTAATTGTGACTAACTATATAATGATCTTATTATTGAAGAAATCGGTTACTATGTTTGTGTGTAGAGGGCAAGCCGATTTTTAGAAGTGTTCTACTTTCTCTCAAGTTATTCCAAGTGTTTATGATGTTGTGTGAACCATTTGAGGTGTCATACTTGCCGCACTAGGCTCTCAAGCTATTTGGAATCAAGAACCAACTAAGAGGTATGTCATTCTACTAGATTTTATATTATTTGTACTTCATAATATGCTAGTTAGGATAAATACCTTGGAAATTGATATTTGCATGTATAATAGAGAAAACATAGATCCAAGGTATTTAGGGTTGCATGTACACAATAGGAGTGTTAGAATGTTCAAAACCCAACACATTTTTCTTCACAAAAAGGATTGGGGCTCCCCATGGCGAGCTACTCGGTCTGATAAGTCCCTTCCCCAGTAACTCCTGAAGCTGAGAGGATAACTCTTGCATCTCTGGTGTTGCAAGGCGATAGGGTGCATCGGCTATCGGCGCCGCATCCGACATTAGGTCAATCCGAAACTCCACTTGCCTCTCTGGAGGCACAA